TACGCTCACCTAGTACAGCCCCAGCTCTGATTAAACGCAACACTCTGTCTACTCTGTATCTGCATCCTGGAAGCCAAAGATGGCTGGAAGAAAACAGCCGGTGCTGAGTAATCTCACTTGAAATTTATACCTTGACAAAACTCTGGGACCATCCTACTGTGTATTTCCCTGGCAAAAACTTACTTTCGGATCTCTGAGCTGTTATTTTCTTCCTGTCAAGGCTAGCAACGGCTTCCATTTTGCTGGATTTCACAGTGAGTTCCAAGTCCTCTAATCCAATCACTAAGTAACATTTGACACTGTTGCCCCTTCCTCTTTGAAACGCTTTTTGTCCTGTGGCTTCTGGAACATCCATCCACATGCTCCCCCATCTTACTGTTACTCCTTGCAGTCTCTCCTGGACCTCAATGCAGGGGTGTTCTAGGGCTCAGTCTTTGGTCTCTTCTCTTCTTCTCTTCTTCATCTAGTCTCTAGGTCAGAGTTTCCTAGCTTCGGCACTACTGACATTTTGGGCCAGATCATCTTTGGTGTGGGGCTGTCCTGTGCATTGTAGGGTTTTTAGCAGCATCCCTGTCCTCTACCTGCTAGAAGTCAGTAGCACTCACCCTTCCTCAATCAAAATTGTACCCTGACATTATCAAATGTCCCTGGGAGGAAAAAAAAAAAATCAGCCCTGATGTAGGTGAACTCAACCTGTCTATGGCTTCAAATGCCATCGAGGAGCTTTTGAGCCACAAATGTATACCCCAAGCCCATTCCTTGCCCCAAGCTCCAAACCCTGTACATCTCATTGTCTCCTTGATCCCTTTATTTGGAGGTAGTATTTCTACTTGTACATATATTGTCTGCCACTTCAACTGACTATAATCTCAAGTGTTTGCATGTTTATTAACAGTGCCTAGACGTGCAGGAAGTGCTCAAAATATATTTGCTGTTTAAAGAATTAAACATTTAATATATATTAATTCATTTCATGCAGTTAATGATGGGGCAATCAGGCAGATAATTTCAAGCACAAGGCATCTTTTAAAAACACATTTAATTTTAGGGTGCCTGGGTGGGTCAGTCGGTTAAGCGTCCAACTCTTGACTTCAGCTCAGATCATGATCTCATGGTCCCAAGTTGAATCCCACTTCGGGGCACCACTCTGACAGTGCGGAGCCTGCTTGGAATTATCTCTCTGCCCCAGCCCCCCCCCCCCCCCCCCCAGATAAATAAATAAACCTTAAAAAACAAACCTTAAAGAAAAAGGACAATTTCAAGATAAAAGGAATGGCTTATTTTTGATTTCTTAAAAGTTATCTCTATGCCTAACGTGGAGCTCAAACTAACAATCCTGAGATTAAGAGTCACACACTCTACCAACTAAGAAAGGCACCCTGGAATGGCTTATTTTTAATTCTTTTTTAATGTTTGTTTATTTATTTATTTTAAAAAATTTTGATGTTTATTTATTTTTGAGAGAGAGAGAGAGAGCATGAGTAGGGGAGGAGCAGAGAAAGAGAGAGAGAGGGAGAGAGAGAGAGAGAGAGATGCACACACACAGAATCTGTAGCAGGCTCCAGGCTCCAAGCTGTCACCACAGAGCCCAATGTGGGGCTCGAACCCACGAACTGCAAGATCATGACCTGAGCTGAAGTCGGATGCTTAACGGACTGAGCCCAGGTGCCCCAATGTTTATTTATTTTTGAGAGACAGAGAGAGACAGAGCATGAGCAGGGGATGCGCAGAGAGAGAGGGAGACAGAGAATCCCAAGCAGGCTCCATCCAGGCTCTGAGCTGTCAGCACAGAGCCCAATGTGGGGCTCGAACTCACAAGCAGTGAGATCATGACGTGAGCTGAAGTTGGACGCTCAACCCACTGAACCACCCAGACGCCCCAGGAATGGCTTATTTTTAAATAAATTTGTGCATAGTACTAATCCTAGCCATTAAATTTTTGTTCAAGTTCTGCTACAGTCTTGAAAGTAATAACACTATAGAGTTCCCATTCGTTTTCAACCACTCTGTTCTACTCCATATTCTTATTATGCTTCATTTCTATTTGTTATTATAAGTATATATCACTGTTTATACAAATGTTTCTATTTTTTTATTTCAAATAATAATTGTGCCTTTTGACTCTCCAGATGCCAGTTAGCTACCAAGTCTTAACTGTAAGTTATTTCTTGAGCTGTTTATCCTCTTGGTCTAATTTCTGCTGTACCTGAAGCGGAGAGTAGAGGGTGAAGTTTTGAAAAGAGGCCTGAATTCCGTTACCACTTAAAACATTGCTTTCTGGATAACATCTATAGTTATATAATATTTAACATTATACATTTAATAGTATTTATTTATAACAGCTGTATTTATGAGTATGTTGTACTGCTGTTGCTTTTTTAAGTAATCTCTACACCCGACATGGGCTTTGAACTCACGACCCTGAGATCAAGAATTGCATGCTCTACTCACTGAGCCAGCCAGGCATCCCTGTTGTACTGTTTTTAATTATTTTTCTCCCTCTCCAAGCAAAGTAGTAACCAGGCACACCATTTCCTTACCCCCACTTGGCTCTCACATTAAGTACTGTGTACATGCATATGCACATTATGACCAGTTCTTGAAGACCATGACTTCCAACACTTTATTTTTGAGGGGTCCAAGTGGTATCCAGACATCTTTTCCATAAATCTCCTTGGTTTATTTATTTACTTGGGTGTTTATTCACCAAGCACACAGACTTTTGTGTATTTCTTTGTGCAAATTTCCTGAGGTTCCTTGATCAATTCTTCTTTGAATATAAGTGAACGATGTCTTAATGATTAATGGCAGATGGATGTGATAGCATCTCAAAACTTTGTAAGTAATAGGGGCGCCTGGGTGGCTCAGTCGGTTGAGCATCCGATTTCAGCCCAGGTCATGATCTCACGGTTCGTGAGTTCGAGCCCCGCGTCAGTCTCTGTGCTGACAGCTCGGAGCCTGGAGCCTGCTTCAGATCTGTGTCCCCCTCCCCTCTCTCCGCCCCACCCCTGCTTGTGCTCTGTCTCTGTCTTTCAAAAATGAATAAACATTAAAAAAATTTAAGAAAAAAAAAACTTTCTAAGTAATAGACTAAAGGTATTAAATATTCATGTATGGAGAGCACAGGAACTCAGCCCAAGTCCAGGCAGCTCTATGGATGCTGTAAGCTTGAATTCCGTACACTTACCCATTTGTCTGTGTCTCTGAGCCTTTTTGGGTTTTTTTAAGAAAAATTGTGATAAAATATATGTAACATAAAATTTATCATCTTAACCATTTTTAAGTGTACAGGTTAGTAGTGTTAAATAGATTCATACCGCTATGCTGAATTTTTAAATGGCATCTCTATTACATATGTTTGAATAAACAGAGTCAATCATGATATTCTGTAAAAAAAAACCAACAACCCATCAAACTGTATTGATTTCAGTATTATTCTTTCAATCATTGCTGACTTCATACAAATTCACACACAAAAAACAGCTGCTAGAGGCATTTAAAAAAATCTTTTACAAGAACAATATGCTGCAAAAGACTGAATGTTAAGTTTTAATACTTGACAAAATCTTTAAAAAGTCTTAACACATTTTTATGCTTGATTTCTCATGATTTATCAGCAAATGCATTGCTTTAAGAAAAGAGTTTAAAAGTATTAACTTTCCTTTCTAAATATTTTTTTTTTCCAATTTAGGTAATTTTAGATATAAGTTTTAAGGAAAGGTTTAACTCTTATTGAGACAAGAATCAAATCGGATTTGAGTAACTCCTGACCAATGAATCTTGGTATGTTTAAAACTGAGCATGTTCTCATAAATCTTCGGTGTAAGTTCAAGACTCATAGACTGAGCTACTCAAGGCCTTAAAAGTTATAAATATTTTTGAATCCAAGCATAATTTAGCTAGTTAGGAATTTAACAGGACACAAAATCTACCCATTTTAATAATAAAACCAAAGAAAGTGGAGTAGCAGCTCTATTTTAGAATTGGAAGAATGACTTGGCTTAGCTGACCAAATGGGCAGGGCCACTGTTCCAACAGGGAGGCTGTCTTAGACATTTCCCCCCTTTCCTGAGGAGTGTGGGTAGAGTGAGTCACCCACAAAGACACTGTTGCATTCTTGGACTAAGATACCCTGCAGTCTGTTTTTCACATAGAGTGGATTTCTAACAAACGGGCATCTTGCCCCCAAAATATTGAAATGTTTACCGAACATGACTTAGTTGGACTTCCTGCTGAATGAAGGGAGGTTAATGCTTTCAATGTGAACACTTTCTAGAATGCTGTAGCAAACGTGTGTGTTTTTGAAGAAAACACAATGGACTTACAGGCAATAAGGTCGGGCCTTGGTGACAGGGATTCTCTGGTTAGTCCCTCTTCAACAGCAAGTCTAGTCAAAGGAGCTCGCTCATTATGCACCAGGGGACAGAAATGTCCCATTAAGAATGCAAAACAAATACAGCACAATAAACACAATCTAGCTTTTCTCTGATGACCAAACATCAACAAATACATACAGGGCAATATTCTATATATCAATTTTCCCTCTGTGTACTGATATAGATAGACTACAAATAATGGAATGAATAGAAGCTGATGTCAGGGCACACTCCGGAAGATTCTCCCTTTTTCTTTAAGTAAGTGCTCAGTATTAGTGTTGTCATATGCCTTTTGCTTGCTCCCACAAGTGGAGCATCCAGACTTACAGAAGAGCTGGCCAAACAACTGTTACATATTAGAGAATAAAGCCCAAATTAAAAAAAAAAATCTTTTGATCTGCCTCGACAGTTGTTCTAGCAAAAGATAATGTTAACACAGTAACCTGTTGGAGAGTTAGGTCATCTACAGCACATGCAGTTCTTAAAAAGACCAGTTTGGGCCACTGACACGAATCCATCAGATGGAGCTCTCCTATGAAGCACAGGGGGAACTCACTGTGTACATAGTGACCTGAAAGTTAACTTATTTCAGGGAGGATAAATAGTCGGTTCTTCTAGAACTACCTTCACGTTGAATGTTATTTCCTCCATGACGTACACGCGTTCAGGAAATGCTTTAGCCACCTCCTCCACACTGTTGAAATATTGCACTGGCTCCTTTATATCCCGGTCTTGTTCCAGCAGCTTGAATTGCCCTAAAATACACGATAAACGGAAGAGATGTGAGATGTTTACGCTGGACAGCTGTCACCGTGGCGACAGCATCCCCTTTCTTTACTCCCACTCTTCTTTGTCGAAGGCTTCTGATCACTATCATGAGGGGAAAAAGTTACCACGGCAGAAGGTTTTCTTGAACTGGAATCTATATTGAAAAGTCAGCTTAAAAATGAGTACAAACACATATGTTTTCTCCTTTGCATCTTTTTGTTCACATCAAGAGTTTATTACCAGATGACCAAAATCAAACTGAATGGATGCTTATTTGTAATTTGATCTCAAAGTGAAAACTTACTCTGTTACAAATGATTGCTCAGTTTGTTTTTGATAATAATCCCCTTGTCATTTAGTTGTAATTAACACCCACACATGCTATGTTCTAAAAGGAAGGCCGAACGCCCCAGGGCAATTAATTTGTTTAAAGTAGTATTTCAAATTTTTGCAAGTAGGACAAAATAATATAGCGGACCTTTGGCTCCCACAGAATTGGTATCCTTGGTTTCAGCAATATGTGGGCGATGCTGAGGGCGCATGAGCCGCTGTAATTTGTGGTGTTTCTGCAGCACAAGTGTGAAGCCTGAGCAGGGCAAGGCTGGGCCAGGGGGTGAGTGGGCCTGGAGAGGAGCCAGTTCCATCTACAGCAACATGTGGCTTCCTTCTCTCTTTTTTACTGTTCCGCATAAAGTTCATGACAGTAGGATATACCATTGTGGTATCTGTACTTTGGGGGGATTGTGAAGAACTTTGAACATATTCCCCAAAATGTCAAGGATCTATTATTGTTTATATACTTTCAATATTTATGATACTTCTGCTTCATTCTAGGAGTTGTTTTCAGTTTAGAATAAGACCGTATGTAACCAAGCCAAAGACATAGTGTTCTTAGCACTCATTTTCTGAATGCTGTTTACACTATAACACTTGAGAAACTTGAAAAGGAATTAAAAGCTATAATGAGGCAGATCTCTCAGCGTGTGTCTACAGGACACCGGGCAGAAACAGGGAAACTTTCATTCATACTCTCAAGACATTTTTTTTTTTTTT